TTAATAAGTTTGCATTCCTTAACTAATAATTACCCTAATCTATTCAATTTATCACCATCTTCCTCCCTGTTATCTAGTCTACCAAAACCAAGCTTAAAAAGATATTGGCCCATATATATTCAGCTTCAATAATAAATTAAAACTTCAAATCAACTCTTATTATAAAGTAAATTTAAGAAATAAACTTGCTTGATAAATTACAAAGCAGTTGCTAATGTATTGTAAAATAAACAATAAAACATTTTATTCTCCTACAAGTAATAAATACTTACAAGAATAAAAATAAAGATCTTTTTACTCTCTGCATTTATTTTCATCTAATGTGAAAAGCTACAAGAAAAAACTATTTGGTGGCAGTATTGTAATTGCATGGTTCATCACATTATTAAATTGGATAAATTGTCTTTTTTTTTTCTTGAAAAATATTCTTAAAACTTCTAATAGAAAAAACAAACTAATATGCACAAGCTAATAATAATTCATTCTTTTTACACATTATGTCTTCTAAACAAATAAGCAAACATGTAGAACATCTTACTTCTATTAAATCTAAATGTGCCTTCTTGATTATAAATATATAGTGGAACCTTGAATGTACCTTACATGGAATTTTACATGATTTCTTAACTCATTACTGCATTAGATACAGGCAAGTAATGAGAAGATTTGTGAGAAACAGTTTAAATTAACAATAATAATTCAATGAGTACTTGATAAGTAGTGCTAATATATTCCTTATAACAGTCAAGGTATAATTAGAAGATACCAAAAATAAAGCCTCAAGTCTCTAAAATACCAGTAAATAACAAATTATTGAACATTTGCAGAACAGAAAAACGAGATTACACAAACCCAAACAAACAATACCAAACCTCATATCTAAAAGAGACACGTCAACTGGATGCAGTAGATCACCCAAGACATATGAATGAATATTGTAATTGAATACAATAACAAAAGAATCTCATATAATAAAGTACCATATAATTAATATCAATGATTATAAATCAGAATTAATAAAATTGCAGCCATTGAAAATTTATGTGACAATTAATTCATGATTTAAGATGGCCTATAAGGATAGAGAGAATGGGAGGGAAGAGCTGAAACTTTACTTTACAGAATATATAAACGCTAAATGATGCCGGAAAGATGCCTTAAATATTTTATAAGGGAGGGAGAGGTGCTCAGGGATCATGAATGAATTTTGAACCAACTTTTCTTTTTAAGTTTGAAACTTTAGTTTAACTATAACGGAAGTTGAGGAGAGAGGGAAAGTTCTACTTAACAATGGCATTCTTCGGATTCAAGTGACAACATATAAATATTAAAAGAGATTATATTGTTCTATGGTTCAAAAGCAAGGCTGTTAGGTATTTAATATATTTTATAAAAATCTATTATTCCAAAGAATCTTCAACTTTTCTGCAAAGGTATTTATTAATGTCCTGTCTTATACCCCATAATAAATTATAAATAGATAATAGTCCATTATACAACAATGAATTAGCTGAAAAAGGCATTTCAACATATGCTATTACCTTTTAAGAGAAAATACAAAATAGTAAGCTTTAAGGTTAGCTTAATTTTTTTTTAATTTTAATTTAGCTTATTGATTAGTATAATGATATAAAATACTTTTGTTCAATAATATTAGCTTTTGCAAGTTTTTCTCATCAGAATGCATAAGCATTTTTATGTAATCTAATCTAGACAACGAAACTTAACTTGAAAGGAATTGTTCAGAATGAAAACCATCAATGATATATTTTTTAACTATTTACTAAGTATATTGTTACTTCAGTACTGTCTAAAACCCATTGTATCCATAAAGGACATTAGGCATCACAGAATTGAAAATTTTATTTATATTTTATGCAATTTGCATCTGCGTGGCTGCGCATCTAGCAAATTTGTTGTGTTTGTATTGTCTTGGTGTATTTCCTTGATATGGTTTTTGTTGGTATAGTAGGTCTCTTGGCAATTGAAATTTCTATAATAGTAGGTCTCTTAAAAATTTAATTAAAGAGAATAAGAAGTAATAAACTTATCAATCCAAAGAGACAAAATTAATAATAATGAATCAGGACAAAGTTATTTTATTAAAAACGATGCACGGTATATTCATTCTAACTAAACAATCTTAGAGATCACGACATTAGATCAGTAATATTAAAATATTAAATTAAAAAAAGAAATGATATCTAACAAAATTTCGCCAAAAAAAATGTGAAATATAGGAACAAAGAGTTAATGTTAGTAAATTAAGCTTAACATCAGTATCTTTTTAACTCTTGTATAGTTCCAAGTTGTCATTGTGAAGGTGATATAATCTAAATGTTTTTATTTTTAGCTTGATTTTAATAATAATTAGCGTTAATATTTCATAAAACCAATATAATGGACCTTCAGAGACAAAAATTTAGCCTAATATGGACCATATAGAACAAACCAACACAATCTACTTTTTAAACAAAATGTGCATTGTCGGTTTCAAGTATTACCTGATGATAAGAGATTACCTGTAATCACTAAGCAAATCAATATATAAGATAAAAATAAAAGCATTCCCACGATTAATTTTTTATAACTCACTTAACAATTACAACAAATTTTGAAATCAATAAATACAAATAAACCTGTAAAAATTAACGTAATTTAAAGAAGAAACAAAACTATTTTATGATTTAGACATCAGAGAATTTTAACACAGTTCAAGCATTTTTAATAGAAAAAGTCAAGAAATCTGCAATCATAAAAATATGAAACTAAACTAAAAATTAATATGAAAGGTACTAACCCAAATTTTGAAAGCAGATATAATTTTACAACATTGAAAGTCACATTTTTTTGAAGCAACAGTAATAGAAATGAAAAATCACACCAACAAATTACTTCATAAAAACAAAGGTAATTTTGTACCATAATGTGCAAAATAAGAGGACTCACACCCAGTTAATTCCAAAGAGTAACTGACCATAACACAAACTTTCCTCATAAGGACAATTGACAAACCTGAGGTATAAATTATAAAATAAAGAACTGGATTTACAGCCAAATGACCTAAAAAAAAAATTATATAGTTCAAAATGAAAAAAAGGGACATCTATGATGGATACATTGAAGTAAATTGAATCTGTATCCAATACTTGCAATAATGTTTTAATACTGAAAAACATCAAACAAACGCAAGCTAAAATATAGCAAAAGATGACATTTCAAAATTCCTCATATGATTTCTCTACTTAATTATTTAATAACATGTACTATCTTTTCAAACTTGCTATTGGGAATGGATATTTATAATGGGAGAATGGACAGTAAAATAAAATTTAAAACTGTTATGATAATGAAAAAAATTGCTAACTACTACTACATAATGACACTTCTAAAACTCTAAATATTTTTTAGAGATAAACCTATAAACTTCACTATTAATAGTCATTTTAAGCTCACTACTTTTTATAACCTATTAACAAAATAATTTTATCAGTTGAGCCATTTAGTATCTACTGCTAACAATCTTTAGCATGGACCAGAACTTAGTACTTATTATTTCAAAACTAAAATCAATCTGTAAACCTACCTCAGCTAAATATTAGTACAAAATAGGGAACTGGCAAATTTTCAAAGATTATCTTAATAACTATTTATAATTAAATCCTATTCTGAATAGCCAATAGATGAAGCAGACAAAACAAGGATTTTTTTTTTCTGTTGGCATTACTGGCCTAGTAGATCTTTTTCCACCTTAAGGAGCATTCTCCATCCTTATCTTGAGCTACTTCTTTCAAGATACCTGCTGCATGCGGCTATGTTGTGTCTTTAATTACTCGATCTATCCATTTGGATTGTTCCGAGCTACATGCCCCAACTATCTTATTTATTTATTTATTCCACCCTTCCAAGCCAATTTGACAATACCTTTTTAGGTGTTTGTAATAGTGTGTTATTAGATATGAATACTTAATGACACACTACTGCTAGTTCACATGAACAAGGATATACACACAGCAGTTCATTCTTTATTATCATCTTTGGACTAGCTTCCAGAATCTGAAGGGCTTCCCGGCACCTGTATTCTTTTGCGTGCACTGATACAAAAGTGAGCGGGCCCCACTGCTGTCTTCTACCCATTTATGAATTCCTTGAACTGCAGGTAATTTACCTCACTGACTGAGAAAACTCATTTTCAGTTAGAACATAGATTCCCGTGGCTCTTGTCATAGTCGCTCTTAAAGCTACAAAGGCGGCAGGTCATGACCACGTGTTCTACAGTTTCCGGAACACCACAAGTTGGACATAGAGGATCTACATCAATGCCGCACCCATCTTAGCTTCCTAGTCTTCATATAATGATATATTGATTGAATAGTTTCTGTAAGCAGAACTTCATTGGTCTCATTCATGGAGAAATCCTCGATGTGTTAGTACTCTAATCTCAGATCACTCCTGTTACTGTGCAGAGGATTTTTCTTTCAAATCTTTAATACTTCTTTCTAGGATACTAGCTAGTGTCCATATCTTAAAGCCATATATTCTAGGCTACATATTTAATATATTTGTACCACTTTATTTGTGTGTATATGATTTAGACAATTTGATATGCATTAAAAATGGGATAAAACCTTACATAACATAAGTACCCTTTTCTGTTTCTAGAATTTTTTCAGTAAAACATAAATGTTAAAACCTGAAAAATATTTAAGAATCTTTAGTCTATACAATCCTAAAATGAAATGAAAATAAAGATTAAGAAGAATGCACTGATGCAAATACAATATATTCACATTCTAATTCACTAGTTGTATGAAAATTTTTCTCCAATATGTAAACCTAATCCTGTCATAAATATTGTTAGAAGGAAAAATAAACAAATTTCAACAGAAAAATTATTTTTATTCAAAAACTTTAATAAAAAATAAAATAGTATATCTATAGAGAGTAAAACAAAAAATAAATTACTCAAAATGTCCCCTTTTTGCATTGACACAGGCATTTTATCTCCGTGGCCAGTCATCAATAGTACCACACTGCACTTTTTGAGGAAAGCGCTCAACTGCTCGGACCAGAGATTGTTCCAAGTTAGGGTGTGCTCTGTGGCATGCCATCCTCTCCAGTTTGGACCAAAGCTGATAATCTAGTGGGTTGAGATCAGGGCTTTCCGAGGGCCAATCTGAGGCAGAGGTGAACTCTGGAATGTTCTTTTCAGCCCCTGCTGAGTTGATCTGGCCATGTGAGCTGGAGTGGAATCCTGCTGGAAAACTCAATGACTTCCAGCAAGCAGCAGAGTATTATTTAGAGGCTTGACAACAGGTTCCAAAATATCATTCTGATAGTCTTTAGCGAGCGGCTGTTTTAACTCCTTCACAAAAATAGAGCTTTGTGGTGCCATCAAAGCAAACTCCCCACCAAGCCATCACTGAGGAAGGGTGATGACCTCTTTCCACTCTTCCAATGACTTTCTACACTTCTCTAGAACTGTGTGCCTACACATGATCATTTTGGCAATTAAATTTTTTTGCAATTGTAAAATTTTTCTCATCGCTAAACAAAATCTTTTGATAAAGGCCATTGGTGTAACGGCCAAGGAGCATTTTGCATCTATCCACTCTACTTTTTTTTAAGGAAGTGGTTAGCCTTTGTCCTGTCATTCTTCGAAATATCCCATCAGGTCACTTTTTATTATGCAAGACATTGATCTGAAAGAGATTCCCATTTCACGAAATATGATTTGTTGTTTTCGAATGGGATTTCTTTTGATTCGAGCAGCCAGTGCTCTCAATGGATTTTCTGTTCTCATAGTGAGGGAACGGTGGTGGAGGTCTGTCATGTACAGAAAGGGTTTTATTATATCTATCTATAGTACATGAACATACAGCTGATACTCAAAGGTTTCAAAGAGGTGAAAATCTCTGACCTACATATTTTAACTTTGTGTAAGGCGATCATAGCTATTCGGTTTTCTTTATCACCCCACTCCATGTTAACTGAGCAAAAGAAAAATACAAACTACCTAGGATTATTATCCTGACATGTCAAGAAAATAATCTGGTAGAGGCAAGGATTATCTAAATAATACCCAAGGATGCAAACAAAGTTCAACTATGTAACAGTATTTGTGGCAGAACTAGGTATATATATATATATATATATAACTAGGTATATATATATATAACTAGGTATATATATATATATATATATATATATATATATATATATATATATATATATATATATATATATAAAAATTCTGACCTTCTCAGTATCTCTAGTAATAACAGCCCTGCATGTCGAATGTGTCCAGAAATTAAGGATAAATAGAAGAGGAGTGATGCTTTGGATGTACTATGCTTGCTGATGATTAACGACTACTAAGCATTTAGGGTGCTCTGCAACTTAACAATAACGAGGAACTCAACAGCTAAATCTACCAACTTCCATGAGCCCTTTTCATCAGCTTCAGATTCCAAATCACAATGGCTGCTTCTTCACAAACTTTTCTTTTGTGCATCTTCTAGATCCCTCTCTCTCTCTTTCTTTCACTAACCTTTCCAGTAACCACCTCATGATTTAAAAACATCTTTTATCTACTCCATCTACCTCTTTAATACCCACTTCTCCCAGGAAATCATTTAACAAATTTTATTTTTCCTATATTATGTCCACCATAATGAAATAACACATTAATTCTACTGCACCAGATAGTGTTGCCAAAAATAAAAAAAATATGCCTCCCAGAAATCCTTCTGGTTTTCTTTTTAATTTACTACAATTTTTCTTTTAAGAATGTAAATTTTCCTATATCTTAAAAAAAAAAAAAAAAAATGCCATTTCTGCCGAATTTCAATCACTTTCAATCTCTAGAAAGACTAGCGCGAATCCAAGTTTTCAATCTCCTTGAAGATTTCAACCAACTTGATCCTCTCCAATCCTCTTACAAATCAGCTACTTCATGCAATCTGCCTTAATTAAAATTAACAGTAATCTTTAGGCTGGTGTAGAAGATAAAAAATTAACTTTCCTTGTCCTTGAATTCTCTTAAGTCTTTGACTCCATTAACTATTCCATCCAAATTAATTAAATTTAAAAAAAATTAAATTTATATTTTTCAAATTAAAATCATTATCCTTCCCCAAAAGTTCTACCTATATTTTAGTTTCAGTTATTTCCATATCCACGCAGATGTCATTATAGGGATGAAACTTTTTTCTCAACTATTAGAGGAATTAAATTTTTTTTTTAGTAGACATTATATTGTTCCATTATTCTTTACCTGTTTTGTAAATTTTTTTAAAAGTTTATTTTTTTTTTATTCTATTTAAAAGTTCTTTTAGCCTTAAGGATCCTGCTTGAAAGAACAAGGGAATATAATATTACCACACATAACCTTTTCATAAATTTTAGCAGTCCATATGACTGTGTCATCAGATAGAAGTTGTATCAGCCTATGAAAACAATGAATATCACACTTGAATTGATCCATCTTACAGAGCTGCTGATGATAGGATCAAAGTGTCAAGTCAGAATACAGGGAGACCTGTCAGAGGCATTCACGACTACAAGGGGCCTAAGACAAGGAGATGGCTTATCATGCCTGCTCTTTAATCTTGCACTAGAAAAGGTGATAAGGGACTCCAAAGTGCAAAGAAGTGGGACAATTCTCAGCAAATCAGTACAGATTCTGGCCCACGCAGATGATATAGATATTATAGCTAGATCACAGAGGAACTTAGAAAGGACCTTCTTAGCTATAGAGGCAGGAGGACAGGTAATGTGGTAAAGCATTAACCAAACAAAGACCAAATACATGATTGCCAACTCACCAAGGCCACCACATCCCACAATTATATTTGGAGGATACACATTTGAAAACATAAATAATTTTGTGTATCTAGGATCCTTAGTTTGTGCAGATAATGTGCCTAGTCAAGAAGTGCAGAGAAGAATTACATCAGCTAACAGGTTATTTCGGCCTAGCTAAAATTTTAAGAAGTCATCTGCTGGCTGGATTCACTAAGATCGCTCTGTACAAATCTCTTGTTACATAAGATCTTTACTGACATATGGCTCAGAGACATGGCCATTATCACAAACAGACGCCATCAGGTTGCAGATTTTCGATAGAAAAATCCTGAGAAGAATGATTGGCCTTGTAAAAGTTGAAAATCAGTATAGGCTAAGGCATAATGTAGAGTTGTACCAAATTTACCGGGAACCAGATGTGGTGCAATTTATACGGCTCTCTAGGCTAAGATGGGCTGGGCACCTAGCAAAGATGGATTCACCAATCAAGCGGCTACTGTTCGGGTATGTGTGGATGGCAGAAGGAGAGGACGACCACGACTGAGATGGGCAGATGAGGTCGAAGCCAACACACAGAAGATTCTAGACTCTATAGCTTGGCAGACCCTTACACAAGACAAAGAGGAATGGAGGCCACGCATTGATGCGGTGAAGACCCGTACCAGGTTGTAGTGCCTGTGATGATGATGAAAAGTTCTTTTGGCCACAAGTAACTCTTTTTTTCTGTACAATTATATTATTCTGAAAAGAATTTTTGTAAGAATAAAGTTATTTTTCTATTTTATAGTAAAATTTAAGTATATGATTTAAATTATTTTTAATTATATAATTTTTTTTTTCAGTTTGCATTACAGACCATACAGATGTTTTACTGCCTTAACAAGCCTGCTCCATCTCTGCCTACCTTGGGCTATTTCTTCCCAGTTATCCGCAGCTTTATTGATTCTATCTATCCATCTCCTTTTTGGCCTTCCACGTGGTATTTTGCCTTCTATTGAGGCATTCATTGTTATGTAGAGGCTTTCAGATGGATTGCTACGAGCTAAACGACCCATCCATCTTAACCTCCGTGCCTTCATATAATGGGAAATTGATTGACCAGTTTCTGTAAGCAGTTCTTTCTACTCCACGTGTTAGTAATCTGATCCCAGATCGTTCCGGTTATCGTGCGGAGGATTTTTCTCACAAATAATATAATATAAATTACTTTAAATTGAATAATAATTTATTTTAAAAGTAAATAAAGATAAAACAAATTATAGTAAGTCAACGGACATATAAAATCAATGTAAATGAAAATAAAAAAAAGCTGATTATATGATGCAGTGTCATTATTAATCTTAAAAATCTGCTGCACGCAACACACAACTTTCACTTACCGCTCAACTTTAAATAGAAATTGTTTCCTCGCCATGTTGGGCTATTATAAAATTTTTGAATTGCATTTTTAACTGAGCTAAAGCTAAAAAATTATACAGCTAACAAATACCATTAAAATAACAAAAGTCCTATTTATTACCTCACCGGTTGATTATGGTTTGTACGATTTGTTGATTATGGATTGCACGATCTGTTGATTATGAATTGTGCAAATATTAGTTATTTAACTGTTATTTTCCATTGCAAAGTTTACTAAAATGGAATTAAGAAATTTGCATTGTCTGTCAAAGACAGGTCAAAAGTTGTCACACTAATTATAAGTGGATACTGTTGGAATATCACAAAAGGAAATTTCATCAAACTATCCATTAATTTAATTTTCTAAAAGGTTACATGATGATTTTTTAGAATAAACGGACGATAGATACCTAAATATTTAAATATATGAGATGTAAAGTTATTAAAATACAGTAAATATATTTAAGGTTATAAACGTATCTATGAAATATTTTTATATTTCACTTCTTCTTCCACATAAGTACAATGAAATAGTAGTAGATACTGTTGGAATATCACAAAGAGAAAATTCATCACATTATTCATTAATGTAATTTTCTAAAAAGTTACATGAAAATATTTCAGAATAAACGGATGTTGATACCTAATTATTTAAATATAATATCAGATCTAGAATTATTAAACTACAGTAAATGTATTTAAGGTTATGCTTTATACACCCATGAAATGATTTTATTTTTTACTTCTTCTTTCACACAAATGCAATGAAATAGTTTTTTAAACAATGTCATTGCCTTGATTCAGTGGATTCTAAATACTTTTTTCAAACTTAAAAATATTTTAAAAGTTTACATTTAGTTAATAAATTTGATTTAATTTCCTTGAAAACATGTGATTTACATTATATATATTAGTTTTCGAAATTATTTATAACTTTTTGCCACTCTCCGTTACCTTCTACAACTTTTTATATTAGATATTGTTTTTTCTAAAATTCTCTGCTTTTCAACGATACACATTATACATATATCTTCTGACTAGTATTTCTGGAGATTCATTTTCGATCTGGATAAGCATTTTTATTTTTTTTTTCCTTTATTTAATAATCAAATTCTTTTAAAAGTTATATTCAGCATTTTTTTGTAACTCTTAATAATGATAAATAGTTAATTATTTAAAATAAACCATATTAATGGTACTTTAGAGGACATTTGGCGTTTCAGCCCTGTAAAGTGACGTCAACGGGGATAAGATCTAAATTATATTAAAGACCACTTAACTATACAATGATACACCAAGTTTAATCAATATCGTTAAAGCTGTTTTTGAGAAAATTGTAAAAATGTGTTTCAGCGTTAATATAAAGTAGCATTTCCGATTTTAAGGAAAAAGTTGCTTGGACATCTAAGGCATATACCTATCTTAAATACGTAATATAAATTTCGTATGGCTTTTCGTTTTCGAGTTAGTGTTCACATACACACAGACTATTTTTCGGGACTTGGTTATTTGGACTCAGGGTACCCCAAAACGTGTATTTCCGTTGAAAACTCAGATTAAAAAATTTTCACGATCACAATACTTACTCTTACTATATATTACATATATACATAAGTGAAAGTAAAATCCATAATTTTGTCAAGACAAACAACCTAATAGCATATGCAAACTGAACTATTAGAACGGGGTTCAACAAGTATTCCATATTTAACCAGGTTATTATGAAGCACATAACTAATTTAGCCAATGAATCAAATGAAAAACATACAAATGGTTAGAGAATAAAACAAAAACAGAAATTAATATGACCCCCTAAATATTATTACAAGGAACCTACCTTTAGCTGATGTGAAGGTTTGCCTTCCCGATCTGCCTCTGTTTCCACTGCCTCAAGCCCAGACTCAACTTCACTCAGCCAAGCTAGAAACTTCTCTAAAGATCTGTCAAAGTTGTGAAGTGAGTTTATTGCAGAGTGTAAGCCCTTTCCACGATTTATAATGCTAAAAAAAAAAAAAATAAATAATTTATATCAATATCATAATACTAAATCAATATAAACATAGCAAATAAATTGGTATGTAAGTTTAAAAAAGATTTAATAATTTTTTTTTTTTTAATATAAAATAAGTGAATGTACTATTTATTAAAAACTTTTGTGCCAACCCCTTAGCTCTGATTAAAAGCTAACAACAGAAGAATATATCTTCATTAAACCGATCATGTGGATATGTAGTTTTAGACATATGTAAAAATGAATTGGATAGTTTAAGACTCAATAATTATTCATATAGACCAGGGGTCTCAAAACTTTTTGGAATCTCCGCTAAGTCCTGCAGGCCACATTGAGACCTCCACTAAGCTTACGGGCAGGTCCACAGGTGGTAGATAGTAAAACGGCCTGCAGATATGCAGATTAACTGTGAATAAGACTTACCAAATGAGCAGTCCTGAAACAGGGGGGAGACAGTATCTGCTGGTGTGGGCTTATGACCATTGGCAAGACCAGATGCATTAAAAAACCACATAATTCAAGGATGATGCTGTGATGTGGTGAGTAAGTGGCACCACTAAATATACACAGCCCCTTACTTCTTTGTACGGTTCGGGAGGGAACCTCAAAGACTATATGAAGTTACTCAGAAAATAAACCAGGGGTGGACCTGATTCTCAGGTCGAAAACACATATCCTGGCTTTTTTTTTTTGCTCCGACATAAGGGTGTGCACCGCGGCCTCAAAAAGGTCTATTGTACGTCATCCTGAATTCAGTTAAAACAGGCCAGATGCCTTCACGAATCTATTGATACTGATGGGATCATTCAGTTCACAGTGCTTGGGATCAGTGATACGATCACATTGAAAGCAAATGTATCGCAGTCTAGCCAAATTATCACATCTACAAATAATGTTATAGGCCGTTTCATCCAAGAGGCCACATAGCCTCCAGGTGGAGGTCTCACTTTAACCCAAATTGTAAAGGTGCTTATTTAATTGACAGTGACCGGTATACAGTCCTGTCACCCGCTTAATGGTATTCCTGTCCATTAGAAGAAGTGAGTTGCTTCTTTTATGGCGAGGCCCTATAATGAATAATTTAGAATGAATCTGTTTCCTAGTCTGTGCCCAATGTAGCATAACTTTATTGCCCACAATTGTCTTAATATATCATTTGGCAAAGCCAAGACTCATCCCACAAATAGGCTCTGCTGCAACCGGCACCTGTGCAGAGCCTTTCCTAGCAAGTTGATCGGCTTTCTCATTTCATGGAATTCCTGAATGCCCAGGTACCCATTCTACTCTCACCTTGATAGTACTACAAAGATTAAGATTGCCTTTGCATTCATCCACCAACTTTGAGCGACTTGCATAACTATTCAAGGCCCCAATTGCTGCTTGACTATCCGTATATATTGTTATCAATCTATTCAAAATGCCCTCCTTAATAAGAGATTGGGCACAGAAATCGATGGCTAAAATCTCGGCTTGAAAGACGGACGTATATCTGCCTAGAGATATGAATATTCCCTCGTTAGGCTTATTCTTTCTCCAGATACCAGTCCCTGATCCCTGCTCCATTAGGCAGCAGTTGGTATTATAGTTAATTCCCTTACATGGTCAATGTGAGCTACTCCTGCTTATATTCAGATTATATAATATGTCTCTATAATTATCAACTTGGAAGTCAGAGCTCATTGCAAGTACCTCATTACTACCATTAACGATTCTATGGCACTGAAACATAAGGAATTTTGATCTCAATCCCAGTTTATCCATCCTATAGGCAGTTCTAAGAGCATCAACCTCTAAATGCAATGGTGTCAGATTCAAAAGAACCTCCATTGCAGTAGTGGGAGTAGTACTCATAGCTCCCGTCGTCATAAGGCATGCAAGCCTTTGAAGCTTGCCAAGCAGCACTCTAGGCCTGCCAGTAGCTGTCCTATGCCACCACATCACAGCTGCATAAAGGATTATAGGTCTAATCGCAGTTCTGTATAGCCATTAGGTCATGCTGGTTTTCAGCCCTCCTCCCCCCCCCCAACCTCCCCACGATTTGCCAACAACTCTTCTACACGCCCACACGTTCGGGAAGATATATAGAAAATGAGGATAAATATTTGAAATAAAAATATTTGATTTCATGAGGCTGTTTTACTAAATAATCTATGCTGTTAAAACTGACATTTCATTTGAAATAACTCTATAAGTAACAGTAACTTCACGTTTGAATGACTTAAGTGTATATCATTAAAATTTACCATGCAATCAAAGAAATTTTTGTGGGCTCAAGTGGAGGTGATTGTGGAGAATAGTTTAGAGACCCCTCATATAGACTAATAAACACAATATTTTTCAAGTGCAACAATAATTATTTCTTTTGCTTCCTGAATATGCCCAGTATTTGATAGAAGAATTCAAATATGTTTTTAATTTTCTGATTATTTATTATAAATATTTTGACACAACTATGAATGATTACTTAGACAGTTTATTTCAACATAGTTATTCGATTTTTTTTCTATGTTTATTTTTTACCAATAAATTTATTAAATATGATTTGCAATATATACATATACATATACATGTGTGTGATTGTGTTTATAATGCATTTATAAAATAAAATATCAGATGTGTCCACTTATATGACTTTTCTACCAAATACAGACAAATTTAAACCACTTATAATTAAATTTGTAAGCAATGTGATAAACATTTTCAAATGAGTTTCTTAAAAATATAGAAAAATGTATAGTTTTCGATTTATTAGAGAAATTAAAAAAAAAAAAAAGTAAACTGTTCCATGGAAACTGTTTAAAGTACTTTTTATAAATCAGAATTTCTTTTTAATCTTTACTACACCAACCCATAAAGAGTCTTGGGTTTAGTACTTAGTAAGGAAGTACTGTTTCAAGACCAACGGTTGTGTAAGTAGGTGATTGGGCCAGGATCACACTCAACCTACAGGGTTTTCTCCATGACTAATTATTTAATTGAGGAAACTCACTTTATATAGGCAAAGTTTGCCTAAGGAAGGTCTCCCGACCCCAGGGTTCATGGATGTTAGTTTGAAATTTGATCCTATTACAAAAATACTTCATACTAATAAATTTTAAACTGAAATTGGTATGATGTCTTATTTCTCTTATGATACCATGAAAACAAGTATTTAATGGTCATGAAAAAAAGAATATAACTAGAAAAAAAACAAATATAAGAAATATGTAAAAAAAATAGTAAGATTTTTCTATAGTCAACTTAATGATATAGAGTTAAAATTCAGAGAACTGGTTGGAAAAAAGATTCTTGATGATATAAAGGTCTTTCAAGGTATAATCAGAGAGGAATCCAAAACAAGATGTAAAAATAATCCTTAAAATATAAGAGGGATAGTCTCATTTCTTATTTCAAAACAGAGAAGAAGCTGGGCATCATTAAAAAAAAAAAAAAAAACTGAGGTCAAGTATTTCAGAAGAAATATTTCTTTCTTGCTAATGCTATTAAAGATAGTAGAGTTATATTTTTATAAACCTTCAAAGCTGATACCGAAGGCAAATGTATGGCATTAACAAGAAATGCCTTGTGTCTTCTTATTATTATTTCAAGCTAAACTTATATTTTCATATAGTTTAACAGTTCCTGTTTCTTAAGAGATATGAATGAAAACATAAGGATAATACCAACAAAAAAAATTAATAAACAGATTACCAATAAATTCTTTAAGAAAGATGAAAACTATGTTTTAATTATCATGTTATTCTAGAGATATTATCTACTGAATATGTATGAATTCATGGTATTAACAAACTGTATATACTTAAGTTACAGAATAGAATAAAAAGAATTTGTTTGTTACTCTAACGATTATGTTTCTTACTAGGTTGAGTTTAAGTTTTAAAAAATCTCAACTCCAAAGGGGCATGATCAAGTGTTATGATACAATATTATAAGATATATATAAATATATTCAATAAAATGTATTAGGAAATTTCTTTGTCATGGGGGTCCAATTTTGAATTTTTCCACAGAAAATATATTCAGAAATGAAAACATATTTGGAATCATTCAAAAATAAAATAATTTTGGACTATGATTACTGAATCTTCTGGACTTACTGACTCAAAACAGTGTGGGTTTTATTCCCACTTATATTAGTTCATATTTATTTTGTAACGGTCCTCAGAAACAAATCTTTTGACATTCCAATACTCGTTAGTACCAGCCAACTTCTAGGGCAGCAAGTTAAATAGTTTAAAATTTAAGAGATTGATGAATATTTCAATTCAACAACATAGTGATACAACGTTTAACTTTTCACTAATTAATAATTTTGTTAAATTTTAGTTAATTTATCACATATCACAAATCACAAATCTAGCCAATGTCATTTCCAATTTTTTTTTTTTTAATTTTTTACTAAACAGTTTTGATACTAGATTATAATGAAGTAAAGTAATTTATTTAAAAACAGATAATCAAGTATCCATGACCACCACTGTCCCCAGAGAAATATAATTGATGATCCTTTTTAAAACACATAAATAACTTGAAAATTGAAAGCAAGTTAAAATTTAAAATGTTATACACGTTGCTTATATGAATATAAGCAATGAAATGGTATTCCGTATTTTCAATTCAACTTCAAAAAACATATTGCAGATCATATTTAAGAAATAGTTATCAGTTACCTAGAGTTGAGTTCTTCATATCGTTGATTTATTGCCTCTGTAGTTCGTTTAACTCTACTAGTGTCATCTTGTTGGTAAACTGCAATCAACTTCTGGGTCAGCTGGCTGAACAGTTCAATGTGGTGTTTGTACTGGTGCAATTCAGCATGGAATGCCTAAAATAATGGTTATGATTAAATTCAATTGATAATAAACCTACAGATAAAATATTTAATAATGAAACACAATAAATATGATGGTAGTTTTATTAATAGTAACTAATAATTTAGTTTATTAGTTAGATTAAATTAAGGAAATAGCATTTTTATAAACTAGCAAAAAAAAAAAAAGAAAGATAAAAAGTAATGTGGAGCAAATGCATTAGAAAATGTATTAATGAGTGAAAAGAAATAACTAAATTTCTTTGAAAAACAAGGGAATAAATTGATAAATAAAAAGATTGATTCATGTGAGTTAAATAATAGAAATTTTGAGTGAGACAAGAAACACACATCGTTAAACGTGTTTGTGTGGTCAATGAAAAATTTTAAAACAAAGTTAATCGAGATGAGTGCATAATGCTCCCGATAATTCTATTATAAAAGTCACAGTATTTGACAGTACTAAAGTCAAATAATAGTATTTGTCTAGTTGTGTATAAAAAATCAGTATGGTTCCAGCAGTTTTGTTTCCAATTTTATTTTAATCAAGCATATACGAGTAGAAATTTAGTTAAATATTTGTATTATTTGGCAAATACAACAAATACTGAAATATATGGTAAAGATTTTATAAACAATAATGTAAAACGACCTAATTCTTCTTGTATCTACAATTTTATTGATTTATGGAAGCATCGCCACAGTAAACATACTTAATTCATCTAAGATATGATTTTCTTTTCTATTAGTTTTCATCCTGTTATCAGTACTGGTCTTAGGATAGGACAACTCGAACATTTGCCCGGAGGGGTGGAAGGGAGAGGTAGAGGAATGTCCGCCTGGAGGAAGATGTCCGACACTTGTTTGCAATTAAAAACAAATTACTAAGTACATAAGAATTCTGATTTTTAGAATATTAATAATGCAATATTGATCAGGTAAATATTGAATGGAATAAAATTCAAGGATTACGTAATACAAAACAACTTAATAATTAGGGGTGAGATGATGTCACTGAATGAAGGAACCAATTGTCTAAGACTGGCACTGCCTGTTATTAATATAACTGGTTTTAAATGTAAGCTTATATCAAACATTTAATGACGAAAATATATTCATTAATTATAATTTAAATAAAACCATAGTCATTTATTAATAAATAATCATCCGATTAATAGAAAGAAAAGTTAATGTCTTAAATTTTAGCCTATCAGGCAAAAATATATACCATTAATATTTATCTAAAAGTCTTAGCACATTAAGTTTTATTTTTTTATTATTACTAACAATAAATATGATCAGAGTTACAAATAGATATAAATAGGTTTCTTAACAAGATTAGAAAGCTAAATTGTAAATTAATATGTAAATGTAATTTTCAAAGTAGCCAAGTCAAAATAATTGATAAAAACATTGTTGATGCAGTTACTAATATATTTTTTTTTATCAAAGAAAAAGCATGCAATGAGTCTAAAAGAAAGAACAGATATGCAAATAGAAATTAAGACTAAAAATGTATGAATACATTACTTAAATAAAGTATTACCACCAGTTACAGACACCTTTAAGCATATCCAGTGAATTAAAAATTTAAATATGTAATATTCCATACAAAAAAATAAAATTATGAATCCACTGGAAAATTTCAAGAAAAAATGGCCACATAGAGCAGGTTCATAAACATAAATATTTTGTTTACAGTTGCTATTTTAATTGTTTACATATTGTTATTTTAAAATATTAATATTTAAAAGAAAATAGTAACCATTAAAACTAAAATTAACATAAAGCTACAATAAGAAACGATAATTAGAATTGTTATGAACTAGCAGTACAAGCTGATAGTTGATAAAAAATCCTACAGATAGCAGCATCAGGAAATGAGCCAATCAAAAAGTTGGAGGTTTTAATTATGAATAGAACGTGGTTTTCGATATCTATTTGGTATTATCCTACTAACTGTTTATCGTTTTATTTGAAAATCTATGTTAAATATAAATATATTTTCATTTTTAACAAGTAGTGTTATATACATATTTTTTTTTATCTTGATTACTGGAATAAATAAATCATAGAATGTTTGAGAAACTTATAATTCTAAACTTTTAAGGGGTGTTTAGACATTTCACAAATTGGGAAACACAATTTATTTAAGGACAATTAATTTTTGTTGAATTTCTCAAGTCAAAATTTTTAATTTCATGAAACAACAATACGTGAAATTGTCCAGATACAATATACTAGCTGAAAATGCTACAATTGTCCACTAAAACACCAACGAGATCTAAAGGTGCGTTTAGACATTTCACAAACTATGGGAAACACAATTATCTAACTTAAATAACTGGGAAATTAGCGCTACACCAAACTCTTTATTTTATTTATCTTGTTACCGATAGCAATTGTTTGTCCTGTAGAGTTTGTTAAATGTTTATATACACCTTCATGAATCAATAAAATTGTATTTAGTAGATCAAGCTTTATACCAACGAAAAATCATTTTCAACACGGTAATTCTCAGAGGTCAAAAAAATACAAAAAAAATTATTAGATATATAGACATCGTCGATTGTGAAAAATACATAATAATGTCACTAGTCAAAATAAAACACAAAAATAATGGTTTTATTTCAAGTTTAACAAAACAATAAAATAAATACAAAGATTTGGTTCAGAAATTAAAGAATTGGATAGGAAATAAACCGAATGAGGTAGTTTTAGTTTTATTAGCAATTTTGGGAAAATAGGACAGGAGCAAGTGCCGGTTAAGTGTCTCCAGTTCTTCGTCAACTTTTTCCTTCTTGTACTTTTTCCCTATAAAAAGGACTTTTCCACTTTATATGGCAGGGGGAAGTAGCCCTTGTACTGGGAAGCTGGAACAAGTTGGAGGATTCAGATTTCCACCTCCGCCATTCATATATGCAAAGGATATATTTTAGAAAATCCAATACCAGAAAAATATCATTTGCATAATTACTCAAAGGATTCTTAAAAATTCATTAAACAAAAAACTAAAATTAATGCAGTGTTTGTTTTCCAACGATTTTACAAAGAAATAAAAAATGATATCTAAAATAGTACCTAATTAAGAAATATATATACAACTACAACTATAATGAAAAATTATGGCTCAACCATTTTTGCCATATATTTGAAACCATATATTATTCTCAGAATCTTTCTTTCTGTTTTCAGTAATGATTCCATATTGGTAGATCCCATTGAGTATCAACGGTTTTATAATGTCTAATTTTGGTTTTCCTGGAAAGATTGCTTTTATTATACCAACTCCAGACTAAGAAACTTAATTTAACCAATTTTACTTCCCTACTCATTTTGCTTGCATGGATCCTCCATTGTAGTTTACGAGTTCCCGAATGTATTTAAACTGTTTCACCAACCTGATTTATCCGTATTTAGTATCGATTTTTTCCCTTATCATTAGTCATTATTTCGGTTTTTTCAAATGATATTAACTAGCCAACTAATAAATAAATATGTATAAAATCAAAATAAAATGTTTTACAGCATCAGCCTCGTTTATAATAGCTACAGCTCATGCATTTAGCGATTGTAAACGTTTTTTTAAGAAGAAAAGGCTAATTATATTGAAGTATTAGGAAATTGATGCGAAAATATGTTTTACTTTGTTTCGATATAGTCGAGTATATTTTAGGAAAGTGTCTAGACTCGATTATTATCCCCTGTTTCCAGGCCTATGGAGTCCAGCGCTCCCCTGTAGGTGGACAACACGTGTCGTATTGGAACTGTAAATTGCTGGAGAAAGAAGCTTCATTTCCACATCATTAGCGTTACCTTTGGGGGACGTGTCTCTCGGTTGGATAGCTCGTTCAAGATCGGTCAAGGCTCACTACGTTGTCCCATCTTTCGGGAAAGTTTTTAATTCTAGCTAAATACTGATATAATATATTAAGTCTTGTCAATGCTGTATTAGTTTATCATTTGTTTTACCTACTTGTTAATAAATATGCGACAGTATAATTAATGCGATGGATTATTTTTTTTTTTGCGATGCGATAGATGGATATTTTGCAATGCAATGGATCATACAACTTTACTTAGCACCACTGGACCACGATTAGGGGAGGAACGTTTTGAAATGAAACCTTTCCCCAAAATGGAAAAATATACTTTTTTTTATTGGTTCATTCATTTGTTTCTGTGAGTTATCTCAGCTAAAACACGAAATATTTTAAATTATAACGCCTAAAAAGCTTCTTAAAGGATAATAGTTCCTGATGTTACGGGTTCTTTCTTTCTTTATTTTTTTAACAGTCCTTCAAGAATTTTTTTTTTCTTCAAGAGTAATCACCGTTAAATATAAAAAACAAAACAAATAAATGAAGTCCATTTTCAGTATAAATATTTTTTTTTTATAAAGTTAATAAATCTTGAGAATATTAACCTTAATTATAAACAAAACTTAATAAAATTAAAATAGATAACTAGAATCAGTGAAAACTTGTGGTGATTTTTTAATAGAACAAGTGAAAAATAAATAAAGGAAAGCATATAACACTTCATAATGAAACTTAACTATTAACTATTAGTTATTAAAAATAATTCATGTATGCTTAAAAAAAAATATATATGATCGTCTCACTCTGAAAATGACAAAAATAATGATTCTCAATGCTCTTAATTATGTCCAATATTAAATTATTCGTAAGGACTAAAATATCGGATCTATTAAGTAGGGCAAGTAAGCAAAACCCTTTCCTATCCTCATTAATAGATCTATAAAGAGAATTCAGGTAAATATTTTCTTAGAAATTTTGTATTTCATAACCTCATGGAGTGATACACTTTCGCTGGAATCTAACCTGTCGTTCCTAATCTGAGCTTAAGTCGCTATTAATTTAGGAATTAGCGTTGAGGTTAGGAACTTGTCCGTTTCTATCCATTCATTATAAACTCAACGGTTATAAACACAAGAGTTTTCCGGATTTCCTATATTCCTCTTGGGTCATCAGAAAATAATCTGGCTATGAGAT